AAGTAAAAAAAATAAAAAAAGCTTCTTCCAACATGTTAAAAACAAGAAAAAGGTTAAGGAAACAAGTGGTTCTTTGGTGGGAGACAGTGGCAAGAAGGTTGCAAGCAACAGGGAGAAAGCAGAACTATTTAACTCATGTTTTGTATCTGTCTTTACACAAAGGGATAAAACAGTCCAACCTATCAAAAACAGCACCACAAAAATCAGATTAGGAACACAAGTTGAAATAGGGAAGAAAATGGTAAGTGAGCACCTGTCTACCCTAAACGAGTTCAAATCACCAGGACCGGATGGATTACACCCCAGAATTCTGAAGGAACTGGGAGACGAGATCTCAGAACCACTGAACTATATCTTTCAGAGATCCTGGAGCACCAGGGAACTACCAGAGGACTGGAAAAGTGCTGATGTGCCAAAATGGACAAACGATATCAGGACAATTGGAATCCATTGATGCTGGCTGACTATTTTGGATACTGCAACAAGAGGCATTAGGTACTGAATACAAACAAAAATTAATGTTTATTTAGAAGCCTGAAATTATATGGACAGTTACCTCAAAATCACCCATTCAATCTTTCATGCCTGAGACAAGACTAGAACTCAGAGTCTCGCAATTTTTAGCCTAGTGCCTTAATCACTACATCAAACCACCTTTCTTGAACTCAATAGAATTCATTCCCAAGTAATACTATTTAGGTTGAGCACATAATTCTGAGAAGAAAATAAATTATGAATACAAATCTAACCTGTGGTGTGTGCATGTGATAAACATACATACACACTTGGATTATGCTTATGGAATCTGCTGGATCTATAGGATCTGTCATATTCTTTCACTCTTAAAATTTACTAGTACAATCTTGGTAGGTCCTGGAGAAAACTTACATTAAGAGCTACTGCTTGAGAAAAACTGGAAAATCTAGATATCTTTACCCAAGTGGCTATCCCCCTGACCCAAAATAGTACTTATGCTGATTTTCAACAGGAAAAAGATTAATGGTCCCGTGGCATCTAAGAAAAATATTATTGCAAAGAATCTGATTTATTGTAGCAAATACATTTGAAGGCAATAAACTTCTTTCCTGCCATTTCTTCTTCCTGTTACAAGAACTGTCCCGATGTGGTACAAGCCAGATACATTGAATTAGAATCCCATCAATGATTTTGCTGTCTGAAAATGATGGGAGCTGCACTCTCAAACAACTAAAGGTTAGAGGAAGGCTGATCTTCAACATCTATGATTCTTGCATAGTATACCCACTTCAGTATGTCTAGACGCACAGCCTATGATTTCATAACCAGTAGCATCCTCTGTTTGTCAGTTAAGGAACTCCATGATGCATTATCTGGCACACTGAGTGTTCTTGCTGAATGTATCCAGATTCTGCAGTGTATATTCTATGCTGTTTCCCATGAAATGTTCATTTTTCTAGGATAGAGTGAAAGGGGAATCACTGCATTGCTGATGTTACTAGGCAACTCCAACAGTCATCACCAAACACCCAGTGCTTAATCACAGAAACTTTAATGGCACCAGAACATAAAGTTTCCTGGAAATGTCTTTTCAATTCTAAAAACGAAACAACTACTTAAGGTCAAGAGAAACATTCAGACTTGTATCATTACAATGGGTTATTAGTTCATAGATTCAAGAGTTTTGTTCCAAAAACAGAATCTAGGTTTAAATTTCTTTCTTTTTGAATGAATTAGTGTTTGTGCTTGAGATTACTCATAAAAATAATTTCCTTTACATTTCCAGAAAAGTATTATGTATGGTACTTGGTCAAATTCAGTGTTCAAAAACGTGTAGATCCAGGTTTCTCTTCAAGTACATATTCAAGATTGTTTATACAGGATTGTAAGATTTCTCAGAATTTCTTGTCCTATGACAGCTTTGTTGCTATAGCTCAAAGGAATCTGGAAGTGACCACATTGACAGACAGGTTGATATAGCAATTGTTTATGGAATTTGTTTATTTATTCAATTTCTATATATACCTATCTCAAATTGACAAATAGTGGCAAATAGCATTACAATAATTAAAACCATGAAAATACAAAAACAGTTACAAATTATACACATATGCAACTGAATGTAATTTATTTATTCATTCATTTTATATAGAATAATGGTTGAGGCAGGACTCAGTCCATATATGATGGAGGCATTATAAACAGGAAACCCATAGGCAGTGGACAGTCTTAACTGTGAAGTGCTGTCTCTATGAAAAACCATGTAATCAGTTTGAAGTTCTCATATTCCTTTATTTCAGGTAATTATGACAATCTAAATTGACTTTATTACACAAATATGCTGGCAGTACTCTCTGTGAAAAGATGAGAACATGCACTAGATAATACATACATGAATGACATTCGGATTATACATACAAAAATGACATTATAAGATCCATATATACTGTCCAAGTCAATTGCCCAAGCATTGTTTGAAGCAAGGCACTTAGCTCAGATCAGGTTTGTATGAAACTAATTGTACTCATTTCTACTTGTTATAGTAACCCAAAGTGTTTATGGTTCATGGATTTATCAATGGTTGCTGTTTTATATTTAGTTTGGTTGGTATGAGATTTCATTATTGATAGCCATTTTAGGAAAACTTTGAAAACATTTAAAAGTAAGAAAGCATTTTCTGCAAACTTTCCTTAACACAGCTACTAAGAAGATATTATAAAAGGTGATTTATAGCTTCTCTAGTTCCTCTTCCTCCTGAAACTGGGCAGCACTTTAGAGTGCCCTACTAGTTGTATCAATAATCCCTCACCTGTAATCTACAAGATTAGAATTGTAGAAATGGGGTAATTATCCTTTTACTAGTAGTTGGAGTTTACATTTCATAACAAAACAGTAATCTCACTGATTAAATAATGTTGTTTTTACAACTTAGAGTTTTATGTTGTTAGAAGAACACAGCATTTGTATGTAGTATAATAAAAAGACTTATTTGCAGCTAAAATTCTTTAAATTATGTCTGGTATCTGGGAAACAGCTTATAATCATGTGACCAAGCCAGTTATCTTAAAAGAAAACTGGAGATCTGTTCCATTTTCCTCTTTTTTTCATATTCATAGGATCATTTTTTCCCCTTGCTCCAGATAGACAATAATAATAGCCAAATGGCTGACTTCCTCGCTACTTATGTACACTATTTTTTTGTTCCAAGAGACTTCTTTTGAGGAAAATTGTAGGAATTACGAGTTATTTTTATATTGCTCTATTTAAAAAAAAACAATGCAATTGTTTGCAGACAATAGTTTGTTCTCATGGATAGTTCTTTCAAAGTGACTTATTTCAGTATTCCAGACATTTTTAAAAACTAGCTTGCTCCATTGAGGACTACTTGCAGGTTTAAGCTAATACTTAAAACTGTATTTTAATTGTCTTATTAAAAGAAAGAAAGAAAAATCTTACAAGCTTAGTTGTGGGGACAGGAGAATGAAAATTCAAGGCTTACAGAACAAAAATAGAACACTACCACAAAAGTTTTATCCAGCAGAAGATACAGGTTCAGCAGGCATAACCAGAATTATATACAGAACTGAATATTCAGATAATCTGTAAATTAAGAAAGTATTGAAATGACCTAAAATTACTTCTTATAGGAATACTTCGCATAAATGCTTAACCCTAGGATAATTTCCATAGTAGAATGCTTGAACAAACAAAACACCAAGTGGTTGTGTTTATATGAAATGTCAAGGCAATTTTTCAAAGGTCAAATACTTTGTAAAAGTAGTGGGGGAAAACAAGCAAAAAAATACGTTTAAGATTGAAAAAATAAATTAAATTTAAGCTCATAGAATAAAAGATGGGCTCAACTCAGTGGCAATCTGGCTTCTAATGGCTTTTTAGATTTCTAATTTGGCCTGTGTTTCTAGTGATGTCTGTAACAAACTATGTTGGCATCAAATGGCATGGGTGTGATGTCATCATTCTTCAAATGCTTCAATTACATACATGGGTATGAGGTCTGAGGCAAATACAAATAGTTCTCAATTAGCTAGTCGGGATTGGAAGCTCTGTCGTTAACCAACATGGTTGTAAAGTGTGATGTCACATGACTACACCATCTTAATAATAGCCATTCCAGCAATTTCAGTTCTTGTAGGGCCCAATCTGGGTTAGTCACCGGAATCAAAGATTTAGTCTCCGAGTTTTTAGACTCGTGCTGGACCCCATTCTCAGGGAACTTTTCTCTCACCAGAATGAGAGATCTTGGGACATGAACATTTGCCTTCATTCATGAATTTCAGTTGTAACTATTAGGCAAATTCCAGATGGTCATTTGGTGTAGCCTCATGTGATTGCAATGGACAATCTTCTGCCAACTTTCCCATTGATTGTCAGAAGCTGACAGTGAAGGTTGCAAATGGCCAGCACATGACAGTGACAAGAGGCAACGTTCATAATTGTGAATTAGTTTCTGCTAAATGCTTAAATCAAAATCATGTAACTACAGAGATGTTGCAATGCAATTTCAAGGACTAGGCATAAGCCTCCTCATTCAGTGTTATTGTGACTTTGAAAGATTGTTGAAGAAATGCCATTAACCAAAATATAAATTATATAATTTGTCTGACATCATTAAGTACATGCTATCATGTGCCTCCAGAGTCCCCACAGCATGCATATGTGCCCATATTCTTATTCATTAGTTTATAATCCTACTTTTGCTCCATATCAAGATAATACACATAGCAGACGTCTATCAGTTCTTTTTAAAAAAAATCCATAACAATCCTGTGCAGTGAGTTGGCTGAAAGAAGGCGGCTAGTCCAAAGTTGTTCATTAGTGTTATTTGATAGCTGAGAATATTTTCAATCTTAATTCACCATTTTAATAATTAATCTATTATTATAAGCATTTTAAAAAGTTTTGTGCGGACTTTGTCCAATCTTCTAGATTTAAAACTGGCAGAATTCCCTCATTGGCTGAGAGTTCTGGGAGTTTTAATTCAATATACCCAGATATAAGACTGGGGACAAACTGGCCTATTATGGCAACATTATTTATGAATAAGAATTCTCCAATTCAAAACGTAAAACAATATAAACATATTGCCTTATCTCCAAAATGTCATAGAAACCCTTGCTTTTGATATTCCAAGAGTGCTGGCAGAAGTTGTGGGTCAAAACAATGGTTGCTAGGGACCATTACTGAGAAGGAAATGGAGTAAAGGCCTAAAAATATCTTTGCAGCAAGAGACTTCATTGTGGACATTTAAAAGTGATGATCAAACAGAAAGAAAACAGTGTCTAATGGATGAGACACTGTATCTATTCTTAATTTGGGAAATATATTTTCGTTAATCATAAAACAACTATAGAGATTTCAAGACACCTTTCTGCCTGAAGCCATGGGTCGCAGCCTTTCATCTTTCTTCCCAGTTTTCATTGCTGCCATTTTGATGCTCTGGTAATTGTCTTTCTTAATCCTGAGGATTAATTAAATTTTCTCATTCACATCAACTGGAGGCAGATTAACTCCCTGAAGTCTGTAAAGCCTTGAATGGAAAATGTTGACTGTTAGTGACTATTCATGGGTACAACCTTTATTAGCAAAAGATAAAACACTAGTTGAATATTATTTTACAGTACAAATAGGAAACTCCCTCCACTGCTGTATGTAAAACAGTTTCTTTGGAAGAGATAATTGATTACATTTTTAGCAGCTTGTAGTAAAATTGTAGTCTTCTTCCAGAAAAGTCAGATATCACCAAATAGGTCTTCGGGGTCATATGTGTTTTTCTCTTCCTCTGCCTTTTGCAAAGTCAGTTGCCTCTCTGTTGATTTTGATGGAGCAAAATGTAGTCTAAAGTTCAAGACATATGAAATAAATTTATTTGTTACTTTAAATAAAACTAAATGCAACACTACAACACTACACACTACAACAGTACAACACTATAAAACATTATCTTGTAATATACTCTGTGGAGTCTTTATTCAGATTGGGGAGAGAAATAATATTTTTCAAAGGTGCTTCTAGCTTGCCCCCCCCTCTGTTACAGCAAAAACAGGATTTAAACTATAGAATTGGAAAGTGTCACTTTTGTGCTTAGTATATTACTTATTATATATATATATATATATTTGTGTGTGTGTATGTCTATGTGTATATATATATATGGAATTAAGTAATATACTAAGCACAAAAGTGACACTATCCAATATATATATAATAACAATTCAAACAACAAAGTAAATGATAATATGGATTGATTTAAAAGTTTCTTGTATGCAATTTATAATATTTTCAACTGTTTTGACAATACAGATTTGACAAATCACATTTCAAGTTTTACATTCTATGGGTTTTATATTCTGTATATCCAGTAAGTAGCTCTTGTCCTTTTAAAAAGAAATGGTATCCAGGCATTAAAATATTTGTGTATTCTTCTTAGCAGGTGGCAGCACCTAGTCATTCTTAATTGATCTCAAAACAGCTAAACAAGGTTAGACCTGATTAGACCACCAGAAAAGGGTTACGGGTAGCCATTTTCTTTTAACAACTGATGTAGTTATTTATCACGCATTACATCAGAAGCCAACGTGGTTTCTGAATCCAAGCATATAATATAGCTGAAAAGATATCTCAGGCATTGTACAAAAAATATTTGAAATCGTGCAAGATTTCAATGAAGTATTTAGTTCAAGACACTAAATACTAAAGCACTACTATATAATTCCCCAGATTAAAACTAGAGGACAAGAATAGCCTAAGACATGCATTCCCCGAAGGCAGCCTGTCCTGCCTTCTGCAATATCTCCCTCAGTATATCACCACATTAATACAATTCCTCTTCTGTCTACACCATTCTCTTGCATTCCATTCATCATCACTTTGGATGGTGCATGATTCTAGTACCCAGATTCCTTACTAGTCAGTCATAATACATTTATTCCTGCGGCTTCTTTGATGTGACTACACAGCCACCAGTCTAACTATCCATAAACCAGCCATCAAATTTAACCCGCTTGAAACTCCTCCTCACATTTCCCCTACCTCAAGTCCAACTCAAGTCAAGTAAATACTGGAGAGAGTGTTCCCCTGCCTGTCTCAAAAATGGCTGAAAACTGCAACACTTCTAAGTTCAAATACTCTGAAGTGCTTTCACAACTTCACATTCCATATTGGGCTGTTAAATTTACTGCTGATTTAAAATTAATGGGAGCAAAATGAAATAATGCATGGATACACCTGCCTTCCAATATCAATATAATTTCAAATATGGAATCATGTATGACTATGAATTATGCCCAAAGCACAAAGAATGAAAACAAAAGTTGCATTGCTTTTACAAACAGTAAGCTTTTTAAAAAGGTATTAGGGCTTTTTAAAAAAAAAGTGAAATGGGCAACACAAACTGAAAATACAAATGTGACTATCTCAATAGACAAATCAAAAAATCCAATAACTACCATATGTGATATAGTTCCTATCCTAATACTTATAAGAATGAGGCTATGTGATAGAACAAAGTAAATTAAATGCTTCAAGTTTCTTCATTCTTAACTAAGGGTTAAAACAGGGCCCTCTTAAACCAGGGACTTGCTATACACTGACATCTCAGCCTGAAGCAGAAGTGATGGGCCAGTTTCAGTTACAATAATAATTTTGCCTTTATTAAGATTAATTTAAACTAATAGGATTACATTTGCCAAGATTTTACATAAGATCTATGTATGTGTACAATATTTGGTTTCTCCCCAATTTGACATATCCATCAATTACTGACACTTACTGGTCTTTTGTTGTTAAATTCCCAGCATGGGATTTGAAAGGATACATATTGTAGCACGGTTCAAGTGCTATGAAATATTTCCCTAGAAATTTGAAGAAATATCCTGGAAACCTTTTGGCACAGTTTTATTGGTTTCTCAATTTTAGTGCTTTATTAGTTAATGGTGCATTGCATAACAATAATGAATTTGACAATGTTCTACTAAGAAATGCTCTATGTTATAAAATGAGTATTTGCAATCTATGTTGAGTTTTCAGATGTTATGGACTTTTGCTTCCCATCACCATGCACAGCAAAATCTATATGCTTATTCATGGAGTGATACAAATTCTCACCAACTGTCCAAATGATTGAAGTATTCTCCATGTTCTTGGAATTTGATCATTATTGTCAGCCAGAAGGGTCAGCTCTAAGTCTAAATGCTATACTCACCAATACTAAAATTGGGGTGGGAGGAGACTGGACTAAAACATTATTTCCATATTTGGGTAGAACTCCAGGAATGAAAAAGCCAAGTCAATTTTGCAAAGCAATCTGCTCCAACTGAAATTTTCAATCATTTTCATTCAGTTATCATACCTATTTTCATATATGTTAATTACAAAGGTAATTAGAACCACAGTTGACTGCTGTTACATCGTTTGCTCCTAAATTTAGTTGCTGTTTTGTACAAAAACTCAGAAAGACAAGTCTGCGATAAATTATCTCCATCACATTCCACTCAAGCTGGTCTCTGTGATGGTGGTGAGATATTGATGTTCATCCAATATGAATTTCTGTGTAACCATGTTTTGGACTTTACTCATCTTAGGTTCAATAGTGACTCTAAGACACTCAGATTATTTAAACTAAGACTGTTTGGAAACAACAAGTGAGGACTCTGAGTCTATTTGGAAACTTGGGGAAAGTGATATATACATTTTGTAATCAATGAAAAAGAACACATCCTGTTACATTCTCAATTATCTTCTCTTCTAATATTAGTCATTTCTAAAAAATAATAAAAATAAAGAGACATATAATTATATACAGACTAATTTCTTCTTCTCTCTTGTTGCCATTTGCTTTCAATGTGGCTCCCAGAGAGGAAATATTTCAAAGCACTATGCATATTCTTGTTATGTACTGATTCCAGAAAGGCAAGGCAAACTAATGAAATTTCACACCATATAGTTTGGCTGGGGTGGGGGGGGGGGGGGGGAATGGAGAGTTCAATATCAAATATTTCTGGAAAGAACCATCCCTGGCCTTAGGAATAGTTCATATTTTGGAAAGGGGGGGTGGCAGTGAAGTGGGCTATCTATCTATCTATCTATCTATCTATCTATCTATCTATCTATCTATCTATCTATCTATCTATCTATCTATCTATCTATATCTAGTATCTATCAATACTGTAACGTACAATGGATTAACTGAAATTTCACCTAAAAATACCCAACCAACTGTAGGAAGTTATTACCCAGCCCTTTCCCAGAAAAATGAAATACCCTAGGAAATATTGAAAAGGCAGAATATTTCTCTAGATGTGAAAAGAAAGAAACATGTTTCAAAAAGACAAAGTCACTCTCCCTGCAGCTTCCTGCCCCCATCCACTTTGTCCATGAGCCATTAAAGCCTGAGCTAGTCCCTTTAATAATAAAGAGTTCTCCCCTTCAGCTCCAGGGGGATAGGATTGAAGCATGATAATATTAGTCCTTTACTCAACTGACCACATGGCATCTGAGAATTCAACCAAACCTGGACTCAGCCTAGAGTTGCCCCTGCATGACCCCATGTGGGTCTGACAACCAATCAGAATATGTTTCTTGCACAGGAGCAGGAGGCAGATAGGTGGGGCCGAATAGATTATAAAAAGCCCTGCAAGCCCCTCCCTCGGCCCTCCTTCTTCTTCACCCAACACCTGGAAGCATGTGATCACCTTTTTCCCCAGGACCTCAAGCCATGTGGTCCTGTCCACCATTAAAACCATCTTTCTAAGGAGCCTCCATGTTTCCAGTGTCTTTTTCCCCACTTGGAACTGAACCCAGAAGGACATTTCTTCCAACACAACCAACCAAAACCTGATGTTTGGCTCTGACCAAAAAGATGGATGTGAGGCTTGGTTATCTGCTTCATGTGTCCAGGACAGACTAGCCATTTTTTTAAAAGATACCTGGTGATGCTGAAAACCAAGAGCCAGAAGAGAAGTGTTGCTCATTCATACTGTTTCTAAAGATTAGAGTAACTAAAGAATCACAGGTATCAGTATCTAGCAGAAATATTTGGTTAAAAAAAAAGCACTTGCTTCACTCACATCACTATTATACAAAAGGTGTCTGGAATTTCTAGATAAACACTTTCTCTAGGTGCCAATTTAGCAAAGCATGTGCAAATTTTGACTTACATTTTAAGTTTTTTATAGTCTGTGATTAAAATATTGGGATTAAATGTAGAAACCCTCATACTTTTATGATATGTTTAGATATGACTATTCAATAAACTAAACACTACCAAATCAAACTTTTACTAATATGGCATCTGCTTTTTATGTTTGCTGTACATAGGTGGTTAACCACACAAGTATATTATTTTAATTACTCAGTGCCAATTAATTCAGCATTTCCTTTATTTAGCAACTGTTAATTTTCTTGGGAAAATCCCTGTTTCATTTTAATTATCTTTTTTCTGCTGTTGCTTATCTACCAGGGCAATAGGGATTATTGACAAATAGACTTTTCTTTCTCTCATGTATGTATTGCAAAGCTCCTTTTGTGTGAAGAGGATTCTCTGGAGTAGGGTAAGTAAAGATACAAGAGAGAAAAGAGGAAGTTTAAACATGCAGGCAATTACACTAAATTTAATCCATTATTATTTATGGTGCGTTGCACAGTCAGCCAGATGTTCAAGCTAGATTTGGCATTTTTGTCCATCTTATGAGTTATTATTTATTATCATCAAACTTTTGATTCATTGTTAACTCCTGGTGACTGCAGTTTTCTGGGGCAAGATTTTTGGAAGTGGTTTGCCAAAAAGTGATTGTCTCCTTCTTAGGGTGAAAAGTGACTGGGTGAAGGTCACTGAAAAG